ATTGCTATTTGTTTTTTTTTTTTTTTTTTTTTTTTTTTTTTTTTCGCACCTCGCCTTTTCGAACAGCTACATGAAATGGTTTATATGTATATGCATAGACTTGCGCCCCGTGTGCATATGTGTTTTAAGCATGTTGCATCGGCGTGCATGAAAATTGATTGCAGTGTATAAAACGCGAGTAGACCCGAAGGAGAACTATGAAATGCTAATTCACCATATCGAAACGGATGTTTTATAGATCGAGGAAAATTGCTACCTATTAAGTTTCCAGTGTAGAAGCATTTTCCCCTCCATATTCGAGTATTCACCTCGGATCTGGGCGTCTTCCTGTGTACCTATACGTGCAGGGGTGATGGGGATGCGCAGCTGTAAGGAGCTTTTCTCTAAGCATTGGCTTCCTATGCAATGCGCTGTGTGTACCACCGTTCCTACGTGTAGTACATATAAGATTATCTAATCGGCTCAATAAATGGAACCAATCAGAGTCACTTTGTTCTTTTCCACATTTGTGCAGTGTAAGATAAGGTTAAGGGATGGATGGTCACTTGTTTGGATGCATTCCTCCCACTCTTTGCTACATTAAATTGTTGCCCTGCTGAGTGAGGAAAAAAAAAAATGCCATGCATGGCGGTCTTCTCAAATGGTACATATTGCTGCTCATGGCTTTGATGAAACACTAATAACATCGTAAACTCAGAGGTACTTTGTTGTTTTTACCCCCCCCTTTTAAGATAACAAAATGGGGGTTACACCCGTTCGAGGGTGCGAAAAAAAATTATGATTGCCCAGTATGTGGACAAACCCATGCTTTCCTTTTTATTTCCACAGATTACGGATAGTAGAGTGTTTCTGAGCATGTCCTAAACAGCATAATACGCAGTAGCATCGCAGGAGAAAAAGGTGGACAACAACGGCGAGGAGTACATAAGCAGGCAAAGGGGCTATATTACGTTCATTTTTAATTAAGCCAATGGATTTTTTTTTTTCAAATCTGATTACTGCGACATCCGCTGTGGTTAGCCAGTGTAGATAATTTTTGTTTACTTCTCCAAGAACGTGCTTCGGCACATAAATTATTTGCTCCATTTTGTAGATTGCACCGAAAGGATGTGGAGTGTTCCTTTTTTCTATGCCACAAATGACAATTGCAGCTAGCCAAAAAGCGAAAAAAAAAAAAAAAAAAAAAAATCCCAGTTTTTACCTGCACGTTCAGGCGATTATTTACACATACATTCTGACATACCATAGGGTGACAATATAACTCCAGCATAATGGTTGCTATGTTGGAAAGAGATAAAAATAGCCTGCCAAATGATGTGAAAATTGTCGTGAGGTATTACTTCCCACGGTGTGGTGAATTTAAAAAGGGCTTCCTTCTTTGCAAATTCGAGCTTTTTCTCATATAACAACACATTGGCGCGACGCTGTTGTGAGTTGTGATTTGTTTGTATTTGATTTTTTTTTTTAACAGTCCCATTTTGCAATCCTAACGCGCAGTGTGCGCCGCGCATGGGGAAGCGTTCACACACACGTTTGCAAGATCGTACTGGCACACTCGCGAAGAGGCAACGCAGACATGTCAATCAAGATACACAAAGATGAGAGTAAGCGGGTGCACGTGTGGATAAGGAGTGCCATCGGCACTCCCAACAGGAGGCAATACAAGCATAAAAATATTATGTATCCCTATTTTCGCATGTACAAGTCACCATACAGAGCGCGCGATTCGCGGACTCGACAGGCATTCTGGCCATGTGTTGACAAGTACCCATGGCACACTCATCAAAAAAGGTGGGTAAAACCAGAAGAACTAAATGTAAAATTCTTTTCCGAGTTTGTTAATAAGCCGCCAGACAAGAAAAACTTATTTGAGACGTGCCACACCCTGCCCTTTAATGGAGTCAACTGTCTTTTTTGGAACCCAATTTATTTAAATAGTTATAAATATTCTGCCAAATGTAGCAAAGACAAGAAGACGGATGAAGAGGACACAGGGGACGAGGAGATGAATAAGAAGAACGATGTGGACGGTGGGGAACACCCTGTCGAGGCGTCGACGCCCATGGGCGACTATGCAAACAGAAAAGTGATAAGGATAAACAACTTTTACTACATTGTGCATAGCCAGGCCAAAAAAAACCTTTATTTTTACCTCAAGTGTATCCGCTACAGCATGAGGCCCTTCAGAGGAAAAATAATAGGAGACCTCTACATGAACGAAAGAAAGATACGAAGCAACATCTCCACAAATGGGATAATAAATGGCGAGTGGAAATATTCCTTTCCTCATGTTAAGATATGTGAAAAGTGTTCCGACGCCATGCTAGATGATACTGTGGCGGAGGAAGAACCCGAGGGGGAAATACTTGACCAGTTGGTTATAGCTGATAAGTATACCTACCGCCCTCCCCTGCCCAAGTGTTTTAGCGGGCCGTCATAATTGACCTGATTCACATTGCACAATGTGGGGACGGTGTTAAACATACATCGTGTGACAGTATGCTCGTTATATATATTTTTTAAGTCCCTTTTGTTCGGTGCTAATTGCACAGTTTTAGCTAGCCAATGCGCGCATTTATGTGCCACCCGCGTGGTATGTACAAAAAACCAATAAGACTCATCACCGCAGCGGTGTAAAATTTGACTCGTGGGTACACACACCCTACAAAATACACACATTGGAAATTACATCCACATGCCATGTGCTTCTTGTTTAATGGTACATGTGTAGGGGTTCTCCGTACGTGCAAAATTATATAAAAAAAAAAAAAAATTTATTCGCACCCATCTCAGTTGAAGATCCACTTTTTGTAAATCTCGCCGAGTAAATACGGTTCCAATGTGAGGCGGTTAATCTTTGCCTCGTCGAGCAATTTATTATTAATTATAAAATCGATGCATGATGTGCATAACTGCTTACAATAAATTCTGTAACTCAAAATGAGAATGTCCATGACGTTGGACTCATTTATATGGTGGCTAATAGCGCGCTCACACATTTGCATGAGTCTGAAAATGCTATACCTGTAGGCAGCCAAAACGATAAGCACATAGGTGTCAAGGGAGTAAAACATGGACAGCTCATCCGTGTATAAATAATTTACAATTATTAAGAACACATCGTAATCCATATCGTCAATTGGGATGAGCTTTCCTTTTTTTATTTTGTCCCGTTGCTCCATTCCATCACTCTCTGGTGAAAAATTCTTCTCTCTACAATAGCGTTCCCCTTCCGCAGAGGACAGGTCGCTTGATGATGTGCCAGTGGAGGGTAACAAATTGAAGAGCGTTTTAAATGCTGGACACCTAGAAAGCAAAATGGAAGAACAGGCATAGATGTACTTATTCTGCACCACAAAAATGACATCTGAGTAACGGTAATTATTTACCATCAGTCTGTAATATTCAATGAGGGAAGATGGCTCGATGTGGACTTCCTCCAACTTCAAAGCGTACACATCGCTCAGCGAATTTTTCCCATCAAAGCCAGCAATGCAATAAATTATATTTTTATAAAAATGAGTATTCATGCTACTTCTGTTTGTGAAATTATTACATGTGTGTATTTTAAACCATATTCTTTTGTGTAAATCGAATTTGTATAAGTCATTCAGCCTTTCACATCTGAGACCATTATACCCCCCCAATATGTATATACATTTATTATGTATAAAGGACCCCATAAAATATCTTGCAACGGGGATCGCTCTATTGTGATAACATTCTGTCGTTTCACTTTTACTCCCTTCCTGTGAAATTTTACTTACTCGTGACCCCCCCAAGGGTTGCACCTCACCCATTTCATTTTCTTCCCGTGCTGACCTTGCACCAGACTGCTCCCCCTCAATCATGTTATATTTCATCTCAGTCCAAATACCTGTCTCCAAATGATACTGAAAAAAAATGTTTAAACCATATTCTCCATTGTACCCACCAAAAAGGTAGAAGTAGCCATCGCATATATGTCCTATGGCACAGGATCTTGGACTTGGTATATCACCACTTTGCTTTATGTGAATCCATTTTTCTTCCTCCAAATCGAATGCATACATTTTGTTATGTACCGATTTGCCATCGTACCCTCCGAATAGGTAGAGCATTCCTCTCACTTCATCCACAGATAAAGCAAAGCCAAATAAAGATGGAGGGGCAAACTTCATACTCTCCTTCTTCACATTAACCACTTGCCACTTCTCTCTCACAAAGTCGTACTTATAAAAATCATTCAACCATATTTCATTCCCCTGGTATCCTCCAAGTATATACATTTTATCTTTAAATAAAAAGGCAGGATTATTTTCCCTCTTGGATGGCCCATTTACTGATTCTATTTTGCTCCACTCATTTGCTGTAATATTATATTTGTAAAAATCGTTGAGTCTTCTTTCAGCTGTATATCCCCCAAATAGGTAGATGTGATGTTTATACAATACAGAGGCAGCTCCCGTGCGTCTTGGAAGACACACATTTTTCTCCCCATTCCAGTAGCCTGTACTTTGTGCTGCTGCCCCATTTGCGTGCGCCATATCATTTTCGCCCATCTTCTTATAATTTGTCTTTGCGCTGTTGGGTGGTCCATTTAATTTGTTCCATGTGAGGATTTTTCTGCTGTCGTTTTTACCTGCCCGGATGTTTGGGCTTTCTTTGTTCACCCTTGGGTAGGCGCTCGGTGCGGCCTCTTTGCCCTTCGGCTTGGCTTTCCCAGGGGGGAGACTCATTGTGGGATTGGCTGCCTCGGTGCGCCGCAAACAAAAGTCGCAATCACCAATTGGTGGCTTGCAACTCGAAGAGGAAGAAGAAAAAAAAAGCACACAAGCAGGGCTACACAACGGGAAGCAAACCTTTTGGGAGTAGTCGCACGAGACAAATGCGATTTACACCCACCACTTGCAACCAGGGGACGGTGACACGTGCGTGTGAACATCCACCTCAGTGGCAATAACAAAGTAGCAATCGCTGAAAAAAAAAAAAAAAGCAGTTACTATATATGCTAAAGTGCCATGTGATGAGATAAATGGAATTTTTTTTTTCTCTCACTGTTGCTATGTTCCCTCGTTCTACTGTGTTGCAATTTTGCCGAGTTGGCCAGGGTTGCCTGTTGTGCAGCACCGACAGCAGCTGCCCCTTTTTTTTCGCTACCCAAAATGCTGCAACCAAATGGAAAAAAATTACAACTGCTGGAAGTGGACCAGCATACTTACCCATATATACACTTCCTCTTTGCGCTCATCCTTATACAGAGCGAAAAAAAAAAATTCCGCCCTGTTGTCTTTACCTTGTAAAAATTAAAAAATTGTACAACCAAGCAGGGGCAACAGTAAGAACCAAAAGGAGAGTTGATTAAAATGGGCAAATACGAATGATGCTAAAAAAAAACTATGCCATATGGTGTCATACGGAAATTAAGCGGATCTAATTTTATTTAAAAAAAAAAAAAAAGAACGAAAGAAAGGCCACATGGGCTGATATGTTAACAAAAAAAAAAAAAAATAAATAAAATGAAAATAAAAAAGGTAAGCAGAAATTGTACAAGGAAAAAAAAAAAAAAAAAAAAAAAAAAAAAAAACGCCGGTGTAGGGGGTTCCACACAAATGTACATATAATTAGGGGGAAAATGTGACGTATATTTACAAATTAAGGGTTATTTGGGTTAATTATGGAGTGGGTGAAGGGAAAGGGGTTTTATCAAAACGCAAACAAACATATGGAATATATTTAATTAAAAGTATTCAAACATATTTACACAGGAATCAAAATGGACAAAGGTGCATGAGGGGGCTCTACTAGCACAACCGCGTAGATGGGTTAAGGGTCCCTCCCCAGCTGGAAAAAAAAACATATAAAAAAAAAAAAAATTTAAACAGCTAAAATTGCACTTTTGCACACGGGACAACAACACAGCAAAGTATACAGAGCAAAAAAAAAAAAAAAAAAAAAGGCGGATGATAAAAAATACCAGCGCTCCGCTCCTTCGTCGTAGCGAGGGTATATATGTGGATGGGCCCGTCATCGACATGTATCACTGCCAACCCGCGCACCGAGATCACATAATCGAGCAAACCCTCCTCTGGCAGTAGTTGCAGCAATTTTCATCCTCTGGCTCATCCGAGGGTCCCTGCGCAACAGTGTACGATACGCTCATCTCGTTCTGAGGAAACCTATAGGAATTCATCCTGTAGGACTGAGAGCTGTTGTTGGTAAAGGAATAATTGCTGGACTGATCGGTATAGTATTTCCTCTTTTCCAATTCAAGTTGGTTACACCTTATAATTAGTTTCTCCACCTGTTTTTTATACGAATGAATAATGCCCTCCGATTCTTCCTTCACTAAAGTGAGTTCGTTTTTTTCCTTAACAAGATTTTTAATGTTCATATTTTTTTGTTGAATCTCATAATTTCTCAAGTGCAAAATTTTGTTCAGTTCTGTTTTTTGGTCCTTTTCCCTTTTTAGCTCTTCTAATTCCCTTTTCTGATTTTCAATAATGGAGTCATAGTTCCTTATTCTGTCATTCAGGTCTTTCAATCCTTTTTCTCCCCTGTTCAACAAAGACATGACATCATTCGAGCCGTCTGCATGGTCACTGTTGTTTAAAATTTCACTGTCAAATTCGAGTAAGAACGTTTTAAATCTTTCTACCATTGCCATTTTTTCACTTAGCGCTTTCTTCAAATCTTGATTTATTTGTTTCCTCGCTCCTAAATCTTCTTGCAGCAGCAACGTTTGGGAAGAAGACCTTTCCACAAAACACCTATCACATACTCGAACTTTCTCTGCATAGCTGTATTCGCTAATTTTTATCCTATTTTCTGAACAGTTGGAACAAAATACATTTCCGCAAGCTCTGCAATGATGTTTTCTTACCCTTACGTTAAAGACGACATTGCAGCTGTAGCAATTTGTTACCTCCTCATCAGGGACCCATAGGCATTTTTTGTCATTTTCATTATTATCTGCATCCCCCATGAGACATGCTGACTTGTTCATATAAAAATCGTTTTCTGTGTGATGGACCATAAATTATTTTGGCTAGCTTTTTTTTTTTTTTTTTTTTTTAGCTAGGTGGGTCAGGCGATTTTATCATAAATGTGGTTAGCACAGGTGTGGGTGGGGTGGAGGATTGATGGCGATAAGAAGTTATTTATGAATATGGGGAATGTGAAGCTTGCACAGATAATAAGCATATGCTGTGATGTAACTGCGCATATTAATTTTGTTACGTCTCACGAGGCAGCCCGCTAAGCTACTCTACGCTACCCAGCTGTGGAGAAGAGAAAAGTGTAGATTTACCAGCGCATATGTAGGCATGTAAAAACACGCTTAATGTAGGCTTTATTTACATGTTTACAATTAATACGACGCGGTTTGGGGTCTCAACCACCGCGCGCGCGCCGAAACTGCCAAAGCCTAAGATTTAAATTTAAAATTTTAAAAATTAAGAATCAAAAAGAGCAGTCACTTTTTCGCAAAAATGCTGGCTCGCTTTTCCTGTTCTACTTTTTTCGCCAAATATTGCATAATTGCAAATTTTGTGCGCTTTTTATTTATTTTTTTTTATCCGCATGGAGGGTATTTGACATTGCATTTAAGTGAGACCCGGCCTATACAGCGGCGCAAATATATATATATACAATGATGCTGAATTAACGTACAATTCTGTGCCTGCCATGAAGTTTAAAAAATAATGTTATTATTCTGTGCCATAGGGGCGCAGCATCAAAAGTGGCAAAAATATATATAAAATATATATATATTTTTTTTTTTTTTTTCTTTTTTTTTTTTTTGCTGCACTGCACACAAAAATTAGTTAATAATGAAGAGAACAAGTTTTATGCAGCATCATTGAATGTTGCTCCTTTTGGGGGGGGCATAACGCTCGTGTAAAAAACAAATTAAACGAGAACTAAGCTCGCAACCTGCAGCCCATTGTTGTTAAAAAAAAAAAATGCATAAAACGGTTTTTGCCACAAGTGAATTATATAAATTAACCGTTTCGTATATTCCTTTTAAAATTATTTCAAATTGAAGAAGGCGCAACATGTTTTTTTTTTTTTTTTTTTTTTTTTTTTGCGTTCCACAATT